AAACCAACAAAAAAAACACAAAAAAAAGAAAAAAAAAGAATGATTAGGGAGAATAGGGAACAATCTCCCTGCAGTTCAGACTTACAAGTAGAACGCAAATTTATAAATACAGGGTAGCCATTCTCAGGACAAGAATTAACTTAACCAAGGAGGTATGTGTGTGTGGTGCATGCACGTACATATACATACACATACACACACCTACATACACCTATATACACACACATACATATAATATATATACATACATTAGACACATGTACCAAGCCCGTAACCAGGATTTTAGTAGGGGGGTTCTTTTTGATACTGAAAGGGCACTTGCGAGCACCATTGGATGGGGCTAGGGGGGGCCGCCAAGGGCCAAAACCCAGGTGGGGTCCAGCATTCTAAGCATTTACAGGTGTTATTTAATTGATTTGAGAGGACATACATTAAAAAAAATGTATATATTAAAGAGGTAATTTTTTGAGTTGGGCAAAGATAAAAAACAAAAAAAAAATACTACTTTAGTACTACAGTATTGGTAATTTAACAACAGTAGCATGATACAAACACCAGTATGGTTTATTCTTTATTTTTTATTTATATAGCACTTTGGAAGTTGTATCATACTATACTCACTTAAGACAATCAATAACAAAAAGAACCGAGACCAATTTGTATGGTTGGTTGTAGCGTATTATAATCATATATATATACAGGTGAAACTATCCCCCGCCGGACACCATCCCGGTATTTCTGAGTCAAGGTTTCGGGGCCTGAATTTTTTTATGTTACTAGGTAGGCCTAACAATCGGGTATTAAAATAGGACTTTTAATAATAGGCTCTAGGCTAGGCCTAAAGTGTGGGCTAGCCAGCCTTTGTTGAAAGTGCACTTCATGAAAAGGGGGGTTCGTTCGAACCCAACGAACCGCTCTGGCTACGAGCTTGGTGCCTTATACAATTAAAAACCACCAGAAAGCGCTTAAAAAATGAAAAGGAAAATAAAAAAACTAACCCATAAAACTAATTATAAAAAATTTACCAAAAAATCAAATTGAAAATTAATATACACACATTTAAAATCAGTGATTTTTCTATTATTTTTACATATATAAATTGCAAGTCATTATTTAAAATTATTACATTGATGAACAATTTTCCCACATCAGGTTGAAATGGGCATTCCAAATGGAATAAGTACATACTATTGTAATTTCACTTTTTCTTTTTTTTATGTTAGGTTGTTTTACCACGGAAAGAATTGAGATTTAAAGTTTTATGCTTATAGATAGGTGTTGCTTTTTGAAAACCAAGACTTTCACAAATTGCACAAAAATGTATAAAATATCCCTAAATGTAAAAATCTGAAGATTGTCAAAAATGCGAGTTACTTCCTTTTGACACGGGATGGCCGGGCCGGGTCACTTTGTTGGATGATATATGTGTCTATATTTCTGATGAAAATGTTAAAAAGTAAAGTTGCAGATGAAGTGATTACATTGTTAAGTTGTTTTAATACAATATTGATATTTTTGTGATTTGCCTATAACCTTACTTTCCATTATACATCATATAACTGTAACCTTCTTATTTAATATGAATATTTTCTTTTCCTGTATCCTATTACTGTGCTTTATAATGTTGATATAGGTAACAATATATGAAAATATACCAACCTTAAAAGTGAGAACATATCTAGTAGGTTGTTCTGAATTGGTGTACCGGTCACAGCCCAACGAGCACAAGCCCTCAGCTTACAAACCCCAACAGCTGATTGGCTCTTGTGGTTCTTGATGCTGTGAGCTTCATCAAGAATAACTCGTTGCCATCCAATCTTGAGGAGGGTTGGTTGTATGATTGCTGTGTCTGGATTTTCCTGAAAAAAAGTAGGTTTACCAATTACTATGGGGAGAACACAATGGCCTATTCAGGATGAACCTTAATTCAAGATGAACCTTAAACTATATAATTTGAAGGCCAGGTATAAGTTTACCCCCATGGATACGAAATTGTGTTGAATTTGCGGTGGGAATATATCCAAGAACTAGAAAATTCTAGGGTACATACATCCATCTTAATTCTCACCGAGTCCTGTCAACGGCCTAGCCTCTTATCTAAGACCTATTGAGGACTAGTTAGCCTATCAACTTTTGATACCAAATTTTAATGCAATGTATTTTATCTTTGGCTTCACACCTCTAAAATTAGGGGGAGGACTTGTACTCGGTAGTGCAATTTGTGCTTATGCCCATGGTAGCCTTTTCTCCGAGGAACTATGAACCTGATTATCATCACAATTCTCACAGTATTATAATGAAATGGATGACAAAACTATTGCTTTACAAAAAATATTCCTCAAAGATAAAATTACACAACTGAATCATTACAATAAAAGCACAAATATTACCTTTGACATCCAATTACTAGCAGGTTGGGGTTTTTCTGGTTGATCATTAACCTCTGCAACCCCAAGTTCCTTTCCCACAATGCCATAAGTGGTCAATACAACATCATATCCCGCTAAGACTGATACATCTTTTTCACGATTTGGGCCGTGGTACATGCAAGTACGTAAAAGACCGCGTTTGCACCTGGTCTCAATTTCATTCTTCCACTGATGTAAGAGTGAGGCCGGACAAATAATTAACGATGCAGATGACTTGATATAATCACTAGAATCTAAAATCAAATAAATATAATAATGATTACATTTTTTAATGTTATTATAATCCTTAATATTACCATTCTCACATCGTCATCGCTGTCTGTCATCATCATCATAATCCTCATTATTATATTATTATTATTATTATCAATATATCTATTTAAACCTCTAGAAAATCTGTCAAAAATCCACATTTCTTATTTCAGTTTGCAAAAAAAAAAGTTTAATTTCCCTTTAAAAGCAAATCATGAAATGGAAAGAAAATAACCAAAAGAGAAATGAGAATGTAAACAACAAAGTACCTTCTTACCTGGCATTTCCATTGTTCCTTCAGGTTTTTCTTTACTTAGTTCCCTTTGTTTGAGAATCAATGATATCATCGTAAGGGTCTTTCCAAGCCCCATATCGTCCGCTGAGAACAGATTACAAAATACTGATTATTTTCACATTATTTACCTAAACATGGCAAACAAAATCAGGTCTTATCACTATAAAACGTAGCACTGCGGAGTAAGAAAACTCATTGGTCCTAGTTTTTCAATGAAGAATGCACAGGCCTGGAATATCAAGGACACTGCTGCAGTATAGGATGCCCACCAAAACTTAAAACTAAAATTTCAAACCATACAATAATCTTATTTTAATTTCTAAATCCAGTAAGACATTATAGGAAAACAGTATTACTAATAAATTAATGAAGTCAAATATATGTTTAGGTTAGAAAACATACGTAAACATTTTCATATAATTTGCATGATATTCACATACCTAGAATTCCACCACAAGGGTGTTGGCTTTCCCGCCATATCAGCCATGTCAAACCTTGTCGCTGGTGAGTCAACAGTGAAACTTTTAGCTTCTTAGGGTCAGAGGTCTCTATATCAGCACCTGGACAAGTCTCCAACGATCTGAGAATCAAGTGAAAAAATGAGACTACACTACAAATAACAATGTTATATAAATACTGTATCAATAAACATGATAACGTACGTCTTTTATTCTTCTTGTTGTTTAATGTTACATTATGTGGGAGCAGCGATTGTTGTTTGGGCACTCAACCTTTGACATCCAATTTGCTTGTGCTCTTGGGAAAGGTACTGCACCAACTTATTAATTAAATTTTCAATTGTAACTCTTAGAGAAAAGCTGTCTTAAAGAATCCCTACGTATGTCTCTCTCCACCCAAGAGTATAAACTGATACCTGGTAGGATTTTGCTGTCTCAATTGAATATTAGTCTGTGTACTATTTATTGATATTGACTAGGTATACACTTTAGGGATAATAAATTTGCACATGCTTTCAGACTTTCTCGTAGACGGTGCTATATAAATCAAAAACATTGTAATTTTTACTGTTATTATTATTATTTTAAGTTTTATTACGGCTTACCTGTGGAGCTTATCAATGGCATCTTTTGTTACTGATCCAACCTCACGTAACCGCGTTGATGTCATTCTGCCTCCGTACAGGGTCTGCATCTGAGGAGCAGCTAAATAATCAAAAAGAAATTGTTATTATTGTGATGGCCACGGTATTAGGGAGCTTGCGATTTGTAAGAGACAACATGATGCTAGAACAGATTCACTTATGTGTGACTGTCTTACATTCTCTGCAACAACATAGATTTCGTCAAACTGAGTCCTAGAATCCATGTGACAGTGATAATTCAACGTCCTTGCATGCACAGATGACTTCTTAGTGACATCATTATGTAATGTAGTTCGATTTATATAGCGCTTTATACCAGAGTCTCAAAGCGCTAGAAGTTTGGACTAGCTCGTACAGTAACTTTCTTCTCCCCAAAGGGTCTCTTCATGTCTGAGCTTCCCGGTAAACCAGTACCAGCTACTTCTGCCCATCCACAACATGGGCTGTATGGACCAGTACACCAGGGTAACCACCTAGTCGTCTTGAAAGATGAACTGGGTTCTTTTAAGTGCGCACAAGCCAAATTGTGTACACTGAGCCTACGGATTATAGTCCTTATCTGAGAAGACTTGTAGGTTCTATGCTGTCATGCAATCAAAAGCGGTTGAATGAAAGCTTCCTGTGTCTATACTGTTTGCAGGTCACAACCTTTCCTTGTCATTTTTAAAAACTTTTATGATGTCACACATTTTATTTAGTGATACAAATTTATTTGAATATTACCTGCATATTGATACACCTGGGCAGGTGCTGGCATGCACATAGCATCTACCATCCCAACCTTAGGTGTTTTACTAAAGCTTTCCATCAATGTCATCTGCTTCAGCGAACCAGCGGTTGACTGGTATCCTGTCAAAAAATGAGATATATGTAAAAAAATATTCTATGAAGGTTGATTGGTAAAACAATGGTTATTTGAACATCAACTTTGAGGTTTGGGTTCAACACCATGTATATTCACCAATCAACCCCTATGCAACATGCCTAATTATGGTGTGCAAATATGTGGTCATGATGATGTCATCATGACCACATATTTGCACACCATGACTATATATGGGCATACCACGTTTTTTCTGTAATCTGGACAGAGCTTTAGGATGTGAATGTTCTGTTGAATATTCATGAGCAAGAATACTCCTACACAAAATTATTTGTTTATGTTTATTATTACTATATCAATATCATTACTATTATTGAAATTCCAATATATATTCTACTCAGTTATGAATACTTTTCTTACCAGATTTTTGAAGTGGAACTCCTTTAGATATTTTGTCATCAATTTCCTTCAGAGTGTCTTCAAGGTTTTTAATATGACTTTTTAGTTTACTTCCTTTATCAGCTAGCAGAGCAATTGCTGGGGTTTTCAACAGTACCTGCAAACAAAGAATGAAATAACAGAAACTGGACACATGCATGTGGGCAGTGTATTCTGATATGAGTAATTTAAATACATCTAATTTTTTCAGATATATTTTTGTAGGTTAAGTTAATCTTCATTCAGTTAGTAGTTAGGCGAGACTTTTTTAATACCTATTTTTTGCCAATTAGCGCACCCACCGCCACAAAAAATTTAATTTTCAGAAAAAAAAAGTATTTCTTACATCCGTCACTGACCTGAAATCTCCAAAAATAAGATATGTATATTTCTTCCTAATTACAGAAATTTAAAGCACTTAATTATACCACTACTACACTATTTCCATTCAATAATAAAGTGTTATTTTAATTTTTTCCTCTGTCTGGAAATTTTTGGCAAAACTATTTGCTAAATAAGAAAACAATATTTTTTTTTCCCGCAATTCTCCGATGATCTTTACAAAAAATAAGTTTGCGAAACAAGGTATGAAAAAAGTCTCGCTTTAGCTGTAAATGATGATATATTACTTCAGCATATCAGTTATTCTTTATCAATGCAAGCAGGTGGCAAAAAGAGGCAATGTTTATAACAGAAGTACCAATACGGGGCGGTGTTTGTCTAGCTTCATTAACTTTACTTACCCTTTGTTTTTCTAGCTTCAATGCTATCTCACTTCGCAATGCCTGATCACTTTTTGATCCTGCTAACTTCTGTACGTCTACACTGGAGGATGGCAATGATGATGATGTTGAAGATGAGGATGATGAAGAGGATGAGGAGGTGGAGGATGCTATTGATGAATGACAATGTGGCTGATCCTTTCTTGCAGTAGCTGTTAATTTACTTGACTTGTCTTTGTCACTTAATTCACCACTATCTATATCCTTCCGAGGCCTCATATCTGATTGGCTGGATGTTTCCAAGTTTGATTTCATTGGTCCACTGTCGGAAGGCATCGCAGGATTACTACTATTATTAAAATATTTGGATTTAACATCACTTGGGAGAGAATCCTTCAAGGTAGCCATAGAAAATACAGAATTATTTTCACCAATTTTCTTACTACTTGAGGTAGTTTTGTGAGGCTTGGGCTTTTGCGGCGGGAAAACAGCTGTGATAAAGAGATCATCCTCGTCAGCTGTCGCTGTTTTCTTTCCTTCTTTGGACTTGGGCGCAACATTAATGGCACCAGTTTTCTTGTGCAGATAAACACTTTTAGGTTTAATCACTGCAGGTGGTTCACATGGACTTTCTTGACCACTCTGAATGACCACTTGATTTTTATTTGTATGACTATGACCATTGTTAACGTTCAAACGGACACTTGCATTAGTTTTATCAGGATTTTCTTGACCTTCTTCTACAAACTTTGATGATAATCCTTTGTTTTTCAGAGAAGTGTCAACACCTTTTTTAGAACCATTTGTATCCTTTAATGGATTCTTGGAGGTTTCAGGAACCTGAAGTTAAAGGAAAAAGCATATTATGATACAATATCATTAAAAAAATATTGTTTTATAACATTACATCCACATACGGGCATGTCACGTAAAATTTGACACTGTCAATAGAGCTTTCAAGAATGTTTCCTATCAAACTTTCTTTGACAAACAACTGTTCTGTGCCCATACAGCCATGATGTGCCTATATATGGTCATGATATAATGTCATTATGACCACAATTAGGCATGTAGCATTTTTGTCAAATCAAATTTGATATTAATTAGGGAATGGTGGTATTACTTTTGTTTACTTGGACATGGTGCTTAGAGTCCTTGTTTATTTGTACCTTATAATTCGACCTATTATTATCATTATTTATGCATCTGTTAATTGGTGAATAATAAACTTTGTTGTTCCTATTATCAAAAGACAGCTAATTACATGCTTAAATACATAAAGTAAGCACTTAAAAATATTAAATCAAACTTTAAGTTCAACACTGATAATGTCTTTAGGAAAAAGAAAATTATGTTCTTAACTACTACTGTACCTTCATATCATCACTATGAACAAATCCACACCATGAGCCACCATTTAAAGATTGGCCTTTCTTGCATCGATAGTAGCGTCTGGAAATGTAATTAATAAGAATAATAATATTGACAAATATCATATCAACCATGGTTTGAAATAACAATGGTCTGGCCTGCAAATGGCAAAACTTATGGCAGACTCATGGGACAGTTAAAATTCAATTTTTACATAAACAACTAAGAAACTTGTAATTACAGATTGAAATAACCATGAATGACACTTCAGAATCATTTTCACAAATTATTTGTGGTAAATCCTACCAGTAATCTACACTGCCAATATCCTACAGTATTACTAAAACATACTTAGTTTTTCCAGTCTTTTTACATGTTCCCAAAGCTTGTAAATCCACCATTTCATCTTCGTGATGTAAGCAAAAGGAAACTGAAATCCTGTAAGAACAAAAATAACAGCCATTTACAGAAATATGGGATAATAAAGTTCATGAACAGCCTGGTTAGACAAACATACCTGTACATAAATAATCATTTACACAGAGTGAATATAAAATGATAAGTTTGGTATCATTTTTACATTACTGCTTTTTGGTAATGTAACCATTCTATTTGTAAGAATAGTAAAACTTACTTGGCAGGTTTTGAGAACTGACATGGTGCTGTTGACTTCAATTGGCTGCATATGTAGAAGCTATGACCTTTACTTACACCTTCTCTTGTGCCAGTCTTCAATAAACATGGTTTTCCTTGAATTAAAAAACAACGGATACATTTAATTTTATTTATCAGTACAATAGACCGAATTAGTCACCAAAAATGACTTCATTATGATTTTGTATAGTGGATATAAAAACAAACATTTGCCAGAGTCCTTATGCTTAAGGCGAAAGTGGTGTACATTAAATCGTCTAAAATGTAATGAAGTTAGCATATTTATAAGACGATCCTTTTTTCATATCTTTTTGTTCAGCGAACCCGCTGCACACCAATGATGATGTTTTTGAATAAAAATAAACTCTATTTTTGGCCAATTAGCACACCCACCACCACGAAAAAGTGGAAAATTCAGAAAAAAATAAGTTTTTATTACACCCACTGCTGCCTTGAAATCTCCAAAAATAAGATGTACTGTATTTTTCTTCCTATTTATATCAATTTAAAGCATTTAACCATTCCATTACTACACTGTTTACATTCAACAATAAAACTTTATATTTATTTTCTCCGCCATCTGAATGTTCTTGACAAAATCATTTGCTAAATAAGAAAACAAAATTTAATTTTTATTTTTTTTCCACCCTCCTCTGACGATCTTTAACAAAACAAGTCCGCAAAACAAGGTATAAAAAAAAGTGTCGCCTATCAACCTATGCATTTTCAATAAATATTTGAAATCATCATTATTGGCGGCCGGCGGGTTTCGCTAAACAAGGTATGAAAAAGTGTTGAATTAACATGATTAGCTTAGGCCTAGTTGACCTACTAGAACAGATTTTGCTATTTTTGTTTTCTCTCAGCTCATAAAGACCACTTTTATGCGTTATACATAAAGTCTCCACTCAGTACCATAGAGTAGTCAGTGAATATTGTTAATGAATGGGAATTTCTGTTGTGCATATAAATCTACTGTATATTTTGGGGCCATGCAGATGGTTTCAGGGTGGAGGGAGACAGTATGGTACAACATAAGGGGTGGGGAGTCCGGGTCTGGGAGTCCCTGGGGGAAAGGATGACCTGACTGAAGTATGGTGGCATGCATGGCAAAGGAAAATTGGATTTGAATTGAACTGTACACCAAAAATAAGATTTCACACAAATCTGAAGTATGAACTAATTTTAACACAAAAAAGAAAAAACAAAATAATAACATCAATTGACATACTATAGGGCTAGGTAGGCCCTAGAATTTATGATTATTTAATTTTAAAAAAAAACAATTAATATTTTGATATGGTAATTATGAATCAGTTTCCAATGTCTGTCTTATAAAGTACAAAAATGCCTATTAGTGCCTAGCCTACGTCTAGTACAAGTGCTGGGCCTAGCTACGCCAAGCCTAATTAGTAGTGGACCCGCCTACGTGGGGCCAAAGTGTTCCTCTCTTCATCATCAATCAATAAAAGCACGGACGGGCCTAACCTATGACTAGGTCTAGTCTAGCCTATCGTGGCTTTACTGTTAAAATCTAGATTATAAAACCCTTAAAATTATGATCATTTTAAACTGATTACCATGACCGTCACATAAAATTCGTTCCATCACCGAAACTAATGACCATAAACAAAAATATTATTTTTGTGTTGTTTTTTTTTTCAAAAACAAGACCGCTGTCTCAACTTTGACGTCAAGCATTTGATTAACCAATCATCAATTTGTATCCGTCTTATAAAGTTTAAAGTTCACTACGAATGTCAAAGGTTGTAAAGGGTTGGAATTAACTACTTTTTCTGCATACAAACGATCGCACTAAGTAGGCGAAGATTCAGGCCTAGCAATTAGGCCTAGAAAAATCTTTGTTTTACAATAACTAAGGTTAAAGGTGTGAGATGAAAAACTATTTTCCAAAATGTTGGGAAGACGACGAAAGGATGGATTATCTATTCTCGGCATTTCGAGGCGAGAAAAACACAAACCCCCATGACTGGGATACGAAAATTAATTTTTGGAATTCAGTTATCACAGCTTACTGCAGGTCGCATAAAACAGTTACAGTCAACTGTGAGACAATAATAGAGGAGTTTAGAAGAAAGGGTAAAGTACCCTTATGTGTAGGACAGGTTCTAGATGAATTGATTAGGTAAGTGTTTACCAGGCTCTCCCTATATCAAGAAGACTAAGGCTAGTGTAGCCTACCTAGGCCTAGTTGCTTAACTGAAGTATGGAGAGTAGTTGTATGATGAATATTAAGATTCCAATTAGGCTACTTATTGTTGTTCAGAAACAATCATGTAGACTGAATGTTTAAAACTGGGGCACCAGGCGTTGAGTGTTCCATTTGTACCATCATTATTAATTATCATGGTAGATATGAAATTAGTAATTGTACTTTTTTATGATTTAATTTAAGAATTAAAAAGTTGGAGTCGGTCAACTATGTTATAGCAAGCAGAGGCTGGTTGTCATGGAGTTTTCATGTGTTCATTAGTACACCATCATCTTGGCTTTTTAGTAGATTTTGGAAGAAGCCCACTGCTTACCCATCGGGAGTTTATATTCACAGAGACCTTCTAAAGGTATTTTAAAAATTATTAGTGACTTTCTTTCTACAAATAGTTTTATTGGTATTATCTCATCATCATTTGGAATGGCAAGCCTCGTATGTATTCCTCCTTTCTGTTTTTGCCATCCTCATAATTGCAATTTGTTATCATCATCTTATCATTATCAACCTCTTAATTTGGTACCGAAAAATCCAAAAAGGTTATTTTTGTAGCACATGATAATATATACAGTATTCATTCTTACGTTCTGACTACTTATATTTTCAATTTTCAGGAATATGCAAATTCTCTGTTAGAAGCTCACCATAATCAAGTGCAATGTGATTTAGCCGATAATCTTGTGACTTATGAAGCAGTTAAATCGTTATCATCCGACTTCTGTAAGGATAGCACAACACTAGACCTCATTCTAAGCTATCTTGAGAAAGAGAAGAAAATCTGTATTGGGTACTCAGGAGATGGGTCGAAGGTAAATGATGGTAGAATGTCTTATCGTAGCATATCATTCTAAGACGAGCAACTCCAAATTATGTCTTGAGGAGTACAATGTAATTTTAATGGAAATTTGGTTTATCTTTTTATAACAAAGGCATTCTTTTGTTAAAGGTGGATGAAAAAATAAACAGTTAAAAAAATAATCAAAGAACATACTCAAGTTGTTTAGATTTAACAATTAATTTATAAATTGTTTTTGTAGGTAGTTAAATTTACAGATGGACCCAACTCTACGGTGCAGGCTATTAGTGAGGCTGATTTTGGAATTATTAGGCAAGTATTATTTCATCCATATTACTCCCTTGTCCTTTTTCATTTTGCTGAGATAAGTTGATAAATAGATGTCGAAAATCCATCAGTTTCAAACCTAATCGTACTGTTTTTTTACGATTCATTAGATTAAAGAAAACTATAGAGATGCTGAAACTGCAAATAAGTAAATTGGTGGAAAAGAAGAAAAAGTTACACCAAGAAGCTAAGACTGCACTTAAGGAAGCTTCAAAAACCAAGGTAGTAATAATAATAATAATAATAATAATAATAATAATAATAATAACAATAATAATAATAATAATAATAATAATAATATGTTTATATCTGAAGAGTGCTTTTCCACATTATTACTGTAGTACAGTAGTTGGAATGATAACGTTCTTAAATATTATCTAACGTAATGTAATAGCGTTTTATACCAAAATGGTTTCAAAGAACTTGAGTGTGGACTAGCTCTTACAGTTACAGTACTTGCTTCTCGTTTAAGGGTCTCTTCGTGTCTAAGTTATACGGTAAACTGTTACTCTCCTCTGTCCACAACAGATGTTGAATGGAACATACACCTCAGTAACCCCTTACACATCTCCAAAGATGTATTTTTAGTTCTTTGAAGTGCACATGAACCAAATTGTGTACATTGGGCCTATGGGTTATTTTATAATCCTTAAACAAGAAGACTTGTTCCCCCACCAGAACAATAGACGAGCGTGCTGTTCAAACCAGTGCCGAAGTTATGGCTGTACATTGCGGTGCCTTTAACCGTTCGGTCATCTAACTCACCAATTTGTCTTAATATCTGCATAATTTTTCAGGCCAAGCAGGCTCTTCGAAAAAAACTCAGCACAGAGAAGATGATAGAGAATTCAGAGCAAACCCTGGCAACTCTAGAACAGTTACAAGATGAAATAAAAACAGCCGAGTCTCAAAAAGTGGTTAGTTTTATGAAAAACTAAAATCTTCTGTGGTTTGGTAATGGTCAGAAATACTACTAGATACTGTACTGATAACAATTTTAATATACTTTTTTATTATTATTTTTAAAATGCATTTCATAAGTTTATGTCTGCACCCTACAATTTTTCTTTTTTGCTTTACTTTCTTGTAATCTCTTCTGTAATCTGCTTTCATGTATATTAACATTATCTATTTTTTAAGCAAAGCTACCTTTTTTCTTTGATAGATCTTGAGTGCCTACGAAGCTGGAGCTTCTGCCTTAAGGAAGACACTATCCGACCAAAGACTTAGGCCTGATATAGTTCACAACACTATGTCAGACGTACAGGAAGTAATATACAATTTATCAATCAATCAGCAAATAACAACAATAGAACCTTTAGGAATAAAAATATGCTCTAAGATGGATTAATAATAAATATTTCTTTGGAAAAACATTACAATAATTTGAACAAGAATATGCAAACATAAAAATTGTAACTCTCTTTTGTTAGGTTGTTGAAATGTGCCAAGATATTTCCACCATTATGCAAGACAAGAGCCAGGAACTGGAGCAGAGCTATATGGGAGAGGAGAGCCTTGACCAAAGTGATCTAGAAGCAGAGTTAGCAGCCTTGCTAAACAGCCAGGCTGACAGTGATAATGAGGAATATGCAACATCAAGTGCAACTCCAGTTCGAGACAAAGGTATTGTAGTGTGTTAAATTCGCTGCGGTTGTGTGTTAAGTCCACCGTGGTAGTGTATGAAGGCAATTGTGGTAGTGTTGTGTCCTCAACTTCTCAACCGAACGCCTGGTAGTCTATTCCTGATCTTGTGACAATCTTTTTAATTCCGCCCTTACATATATTTCTAGGCCTTTCTACTGGTCTTTTTTCTCATAGTTTCCAGTCTTGTATTCTTCTTGTGTTATATCCACTGCTAACAGTGGACCTTTCCGCTAAGCCTAAGATATTGTTGCCAAGGTCCCACAAAACGACAGTGTTAAAACATTCGCAAACACAAATGCGTTTGTTAACAACACATGTTTGTGAGTCATGCACGTATTCCTGGCACTGTTGTGATTGGTCAGTTGTTAAGTTTTATTGACACTCCAAAAAGAAGGTAAATCATTTCAACACAAAGATCCTTTTTCTCTTTCACAGGAGATACGCCCTTGCGTAGAAGACCAATTGCATCTGCTAATAAATTTGATGTTGACAGTTTGCCTGATGTACCATCCCATAATATTCAGGAAGATGGCGACAAGCAGGTTCGCCAACTGCTTTCTAGTTGATGATTTGGTTACTGTCCAGTGTACCACTGATATTCCAACAGTTGTCAGGTTTAGACCAAGTTTTATGTATTGTAAGGAACATACTATATTTAATGTTTTGTGCTTATTTTTCATTGAAAATGTTTTCTGGTGTGAAGATACTGTATTCAACACTGTGGCCTTGTGGTTAGTAGTTCAGATGCCCACATTCTAATACCAAAATGTAGGGTTCAACAATCCTGAAAACATCATGATTTTTCTCATAAACCGCAATAAACTGCGCTCTGCCCAAGCCTCATGAAGGCACTTAATGAGGGGGGTGGACCCAGGATCTTTCCATTGCAATAGATCCTTGTCATTTGATATTCTGTAAAAGTAAAACTTTTCTGCTGGGCAGAGTCGCGAAGTTTCTACCTTTCTTAGCATGGAGGTTTTAAGTCACAGATAGGATTTGACACAATGGTCCTACAAGACGACAGTTTTACAACACTCGCAAACACATGCATTTGAGTTTGTGAGACGCGCGCGTATTCCTAGCGCTGTTCCGATTAGTCAGTTATTAGTTTGGTTGACACCCCGGAGAGATTACTGAGAATAAAGTGTTAAAAATATACAAATATCTGGGAGATTCCTGCAGCTTGCGGGAGACGTAGGACCCCATGCTAAATTAACTAGAATTACATGAAGAGTGACATGAATCAAAAAATGAAATATTTTGCCATTAATGGTGCAAGTACCCAACTGTTGTACAGTATTCGTATGGGAACTTCCATGCTCAACAGAAAATCTGTTAAGTAGTTTTTGTTCTATACATACTCAACGGATAAGTCCCAATCGAATATGCCAATTGTCATGTTATATTAAATTAACCAATCAAAAATGACAAGGATCTATTTGGGTGTGTTATGGTTTTGTTATAGATATTATTGTTACTATGTCATAAATAGTAGTTTACCACTAAAATTATATATATTTTTTTGTATAAAGTAGCAAGGTATTTGTTTTGATTTAAAGCAAAAATAAACCCATGTACTTTATAATATCTTGGATAGCAAAAGAATAATTGTTTTTGATATAATCAAGATTGTCAAATTTATTGCTGAAGATTTTGTAAATTATGCAATTGTCCCCAAATATTGAAAAATAAAAGAAAATAATGATAAAATGAACAAACAATTTTACTTTATTGTTTACTGGATTCATAGCCTGGACTCAACAACTTAATGTATAGCCTGGTTTCCATAAAATCACTACACTGTCGCTACAGTGTTATCAGTGAAATTGTTATACTGCAGTCCCTGACGCAATCGGGAAGGCTCCCAGATTTGACCGACCAATCAGCATCCACCGAAAGCTGTTGGCGATAGCATGTACCAATTGTATGGAAAACCAAGCTTATTAGGCTTAAGAAAATATGCGAGACATGATTGTTCTTTTTTTATTTGGAATAAGGCAACTTGTTGTGGAAATTTTGTTTGCGTGATGATGGCAAGATCTTGGTAGAATCGCGCATGCCAGAATTATTAGAAGTGGTTTAGGCTGAATCTTCATTGTGCAGAGAACTTGGTGATTACGGATGAGTGAATTTGTCCTAAGAACCTGTTTCTGTGATCAAAAGCTTACTATTCTACATATATGATAATTTCCCGACCGTATCTACAACCCATAATAGCCAAAATGGTGCCCTATCCAACTGTGGTCCAACATTACAGAACATAGCAATTCGCTCGTCAATAAATACCTTAATAGACTGGTAATGCTATATATTTTTAGCCTGTCAACATTGTGAAATAAAAAATATTTTTGTACCCTCCTTTGAAAATTTACCTTTTGCACACAAAACTAAAAAAAATTCAGCCAAACACTGCACTAATGAAAAATTAGTGCTTAGTTTTGGGATAGGAAACTAATGTTGGAGTTACAAGGATGATGTCATGATTGACTTGTAATATTAATTTTTATCTCATTACATTTAAATTAAATGTATTCACTATATTAGTTTATCTTTGAAGTTTTCTCACAGAGTATTACTGTTAATTGTAATTTTGAGAAATAAAATTCAATACAGTATTTCAATTGCTCTGTATACAGTATTTGAGTGATTTACAGATGCATAAAAATATGATATTTATATCTTTACATAAATTTTATGATGAACAGTATATCTTTAAAACATAAGCCACCTTCCAGTGCACCTGTGAGCACAACCGGTGATCAATGGTTCTTGCAACATAAAATGTGTTTTAATGTAAATAAAAATATGCATGCGCAAATATTATTTACTACCTACAGTACACCAAATTCAGAGGTGCGATAAATTCATAATGTACAGCCGGATAATTTCACTCCTAAATTGAACAATTTTAAACATTTTATAATATTTAATTCATCTATTGTTTTAAAAGTGCAAAATATAATTTTACAGTTTTGTAATTGCTCAAAGTTAAATCGTGATCACTGGTTGGCTAAGCACTGCAGTGGAACGCATTTCACAACTTGTGAAGCTGTGACTACAGGTGCATTAGAATGCAGCAGTTGTTTGGGAGACAAGCCTCTACTCCAGTGTCAATTACACGACCACCAATGATGCTATAGCTTCCATGGAATATTGACCTTGTTTAGAGCAGAGTTAGCTAAAATGCTTGACAAAATCAACAACCAATGTGAACATACAGTATATTCATGTTTGACTTGAACGTTTGAATTTGAAACTTTTCAATGGATTTTCTTCCTTCTTTTTCTGAAAATAGAAAGAAATACAAAATGAATTATGAACTTGTAAAGTTGATAACTAACATGTTCCACATTTGTAAGAAAAATATAGAAAACCAAAGTTAAGGATGAGGTAAAATATGGTATAAAATTTGCCATAAGGAATAAATGTCCAAAAGCTCCCTTGTCTCATAACAGTATGTATGACTCACTCTCAATAACAAAACAAGATAAAATAGAAATTAAGGAGAAAATACTGTTACCTTTATTCTAATGGCCTTTGTTTCTGCACGTCTGCTACCTGCGTCAGGGTTTGCACGTTTCCGTGAGTATGATATATTGCTGCCTTTCAAGGCTTTTGGCACTTTTGAGGGGAAGAAACAAAAATCATTGCTGAAAGACTGCAAATTAATCTTATATACTGACCTACCCATCCATCTATGTGTCCACACACACTACATCCCTTCAATTGTCTACCCACCTGTCCATCTACCCATCCATCCACCAATCAAACCATTCATTATTGATATATCCACTCACATATCAATCAATTCATCCATCCATCTATCTATCCACTCATACATCTACCAATTCATCTACAATGGCGGATCGTAGGGTAAAAATGAAAAGGTTCGAAATTTTTTTTTTCTAGTTTTTACTAGGATATGCAATGCATACCTTGCTTGCCGTGACATCTGCCACTGCCCATCTACCTGCCCACTTATCTATCAATCATTTCATTGTCCATATATCCACTTACCCATCAATTCATCCATCCATCTATTGATCTAACCATTCACCAATCCATATAACACTCATTCTATATATTTATCCTTTCATCCATTAATTTTTACGCCGTGGCTAAAGATACGGTACCGTATCGGAACTTCCGATTGCTGAAGGTACGGTAAATAATATTATGTCATGATTAGCCAATAGAAACGCCGATACATGCGTGACGTCATTCAGTGCACTGATGCTGCACAAGTAGTGAGTGTGTGTTTTAGGTTTTAGCAACGATTGAAGATAAGAAATTTTGTTCGTTCGCGGGTGTTGTTGACAAGCTGCGATTAATATTCTGTAGCCCAAGGCCCTATAGCAAATAAAAAGGATAGCAGTTTTGCTAGATTTGGCGACATCAAGCGACTGAATAAACTATTTTAATAGTAAAAGCCAGGCCTAGGCCTTAGCTACCGGACCCCTACTACTGTGCATATTAATTCCCTGTAGGCCTATTCTATTATACTACTACTACAAATAAAGTTTACTCTCACTGATAATTACAATCACCATGTTGCTTGGTTGGTTATTTCAATCAGCAATAATAACTAGTGCCTACTATTCTATAGGCTTAGGCTAGGCCCCTAGTAGTAGCACTACAGTACTAGGCCTAAGCCTAGCCTAGTAGTACGCCTATAATAAGCATCGGCCCTAGGCGGGTATTCTCCCTGTGCCCTAGGCCTAAGCCTAAGTAGACCATTCTCTATGGTAGACCATAAAATACGCAAGAATAACAGAAAGGACTTTTAACCCAAACATTGTGATAAGCCCCAATCGAAGTACATGGAACTGTCCTATTATGACATAAATTTGATCGTAACTGTTCGCACCACACATTTCTCATGACCGCGACGTCGACTTTGCAAAAAAAGCCAAAATTGAGTCAGTCATTTCTATTGGCTAATCATGACGTAATATCATTTACCGTACTTTTAGCAATCGGAAGTTCCGATACGGTACCGTATCTCTAGCCACGGCGTAACTTTTAATCTCATTTAGTTCTGCATATATCAAGAGCTAATATCAACTATAGAATATTTAAAAAATATATATAATTATTTTACAAAAAATAGGTGCAGGCTTATGACATAGAAAGGCACATAGACCTGTATACCCACCTAGGTAATCCGGAACGGTGGACAACTCTGAATGAACCTTGGCAGAATGCAATGCTTTGTCGTGACGTAACAGCTTCAAGTCTCGCGGGTTGTCGTCAAAGTATGTTTTGAGCTTCTTGGAGTTTAAAATCTCAGACTTTATCTCCTTTAACCTCGCTTCCTTCACTGCTACTTTCGTCACAGCTCTTAATGCATCCTAAGTAAACAACACACAGCATTGATCAATTTATCGCTTATAATGCATCTCATGTATTGGAGATTATTTAGGATTCCTTGATTAATAATATTTGGATAACTAGTTCATAAAAGGATCCTTTTATGAACTCACTTGCGCAAGATCTTGTTAAATGAGCTTTCTTAACAAATCTAATTTCAATTTTCTGCGCAGGGCGATGCCCATCATCACTGATTTCTGTGAGACAATTCATAAATAAAAGTAGTAAAAATATGCAAATATTATGAATTTGTGGAAGATGGGTAATTTTCCAGGAGATTCGTACATGCTTATGCGAGTGCTTTAGGCCGTCCTCATTATTGGAAGACTCCCATGACTTGTGGGAGGTTTGGGGCTCTTGCCATATTCGGGAGCTTACGATTGCACGACGATGTAGGACGTAGAACATAATGACGTCACTAAGTCATCTGCGCATGCAAGAAAGTTAAGGTCACCTTATCGAGTAAATTCTGGAACGCAAGTGCAATCGTAAGCGTCACAGCAGCGTTATCGTTATTGAAGTCGTTCCATATTTTAAATATTTAGGTATTGTTTTTTCATCTCGTGGTATTTGGTCTATTGCACAAAAAACTCTGGCTGAACAAGCGTCGAAATCTATGTATGCAATTATGGCAAATACAAAGTCTATGGGTAATTTACCAATTAACATTTACTTTAAAATTGTTGACATTAAACTAAAATCAATTCTAGACTATGGGAGTGAAGTCTGG